CAGTCAGATCTCGGGTTAAAATCTGACTGTCAGCTACTCGGGTTAAAATCTGACTGTCAGCTACTCGGGTTAAAATCTGACTGGCAGTCAGATCTTAATCCGAGTAGCTGACATTCAGATTTTAACCCGAGTAGCTGACATTCAGATTTTAACCCGAGTAGCTGACATTCAGATTTTAACCCGAGTAGCTGACATTCAGATTTTAACCCGAGTGGCTGACAGTCAGATTTTAACCCGAGAAGCTTGTCTTGCTTCACACTTGGGTCAGGTCTCGGGTTCAAATCCCCCTGTGCACATCTGACGTTTCCGTTCTCTCTATCTCGCTTTCGCTCTTGACGTTTCCGTTCTCTCTATCTCGCTTTCGCTCTTTTTCTCTCTCTTTCTCTCTCTTTCTCTCTCTTTCTCTCTCTTTCTCTCTTTCTCTTTCTCTCTCTTTCTCTCTTTCTTCATGTCTCTTCATGTCTTGATGTTAATTGCCTTTGGTTTGGTTTGGTATGTGTTGGGGGTATTCCTGTGATTGTGTGTGAACACTGCGGGGTAAGGAAGATAAGTCTGACGTGTGCACTCGCTTTGTCTCTCTCTTGGTGTCTGTTGGCTTTTGTGTTTTGGCTGGTCTGGCCCGGGGACACAAAAAGTGAAAAAAAGAGATAAAAAGAAGTGTTTTAATTTATTGTTTATGTGAAACTTGGTAAAGAATTTCGAAGTGTGTCCCTGAGGCAAAAGATGATGAAGATGAAGAGTACGTCAACAGACTGACAAACCTCGAATTTAAAACCCAATCGAAATAACAAAGTGGAGGCTCAGAGTCAAAAGTTGTTCAGTTTCTTTTTTTTTTTTTGGTTGCTGGGACCATCTTTGATCCTTGTACGGTCACACACAAGGTGACCCGGGTGGTCCGGCTGGTAGCCTAGTGTTTTGGTATTTTTTGGTGGAATTCTGTGATTGTTTTGTGTGAAGGCTGGGGGGGGGAGGGGAAGAGAAATCCGACGTTTCCCCTCTCTTCCTCTCTCTTGATGTCTGTTGCCTTTGTTTCGGTATTTTTTTGGTGGTATGCTTGTGTTTGGATGTGAAGCCTGGAGAGTAAGGAAAAGAAATGGCACAGAGCGGGGGTCCTGCTGCGGAGGGCAGTGAAGCGCCAAAGAGGACAGTGAATGGTTCACAGAACATGTCTACGTCAGGCAATTGCAATGGAGGACTCGGCGATACGAAGATCACAGCGCCCTGCGCAGAGTTTCGTGGGCTGTATGTTTTGGAAATGGTAGATGAGGAGCCTGGTTCTGACAGGAGTCTGTCAGCGAGCAGTGCAGGTGAGCCAACCTGGAAGCGCCAGGTGGTGGCGACAGCGTCTTTGCGAAACAGTAATGGGCGGAGATGGGTTGAGGTCAAGACTGCAGAAGACAAGGGCTTCGAAAACAGCCCCAAGATGAAATCACTCCTCTTTGGAGCGGCGATCGAGAGAAGGGGTGGTGACTCTGCCTCCTCCTCCTCCTCCTCCTCCTCTGTTAATGGTGGGGGCAGTGATTTCGAAGCCCAGTCTGTCTGTCGATTTTGGAAGACGGGCCAGCGCCTTCTGACGTGTGCAGTTGAGACTCATCCACATCCAGATGTGGATTATGGTATGAAGAGATCATTGGTCAGCTGCGCGCGGACGTTTGCAATTCGATTTGCCTCCGAGGAAGAGTGCAATGCGTTTTTGTTGGCGGCGACAGAGTACTCTCCGAGCAAGAATCGGGAGAGGGGAAGAAACGTGTCTACCTCATCTAGTGGTAGCCCGAAGAAAGGGCATTCGCGGGGTGCCAATAAGGGGGGGGGTCATCGCGGCGGCGACGACGACGAGAGTGTGAGCGGCAGCAAATTCAGCAGAAAGATAGAGAGAGCGTCAGCGCAAATGTACTTCCACTACTACGGACAGCTCTTGCATCAGCAGAACATGCTTCAGGATTACGTGCGGACCGGCACGTATTACGCTGCTGTGATGGAGAACAAGGCAGATTTTGCAGGCAAGGTGGTCGTGGATGTCGGCGCGGGCACAGGTATTCTGTCTCTCTTTGCCGCTCAGGCAGGCGCCCGACACGTCTATGCGGTCGAGGCGTCCTCCATGGCCGACCATGCACGCAAGCTGATCGCAGGCAATCCCCACATTGCGAAGCAGGTAACCGTCATCCAGGGCAAAGTGGAGGAGGTGGATTTGCCGGAGAAAGCCGACATCCTCATTTCTGAGCCCATGGGGACTCTGCTTGTGAACGAGAGAATGCTGGAGTCGTACGTGATTGCGCGCGATCGGTTCTTGAAGCCGGGAGGGCAGATGTTTCCTGCAAAGGGCCGGATTCATATGGCGCCTTTTTCGGATGAAGGGCTTTACGTTGAGGTAGCGAGCAAGGCATTATTCTGGCAGCAACAGGCATACTACGGGGTGGATTTGACTGCGCTGCATGGGGCGGCATTCGCGGGCTATTTTTCACAGCCTGTGATTGACGCATTCGATCCGAGAATCCTTGTGGCTCCACCTGTTATCCACGAGATTGACTTCACGAAGATCAAAGAAGAAGAACTTTACGCCTTGGACGTGCCGCTCTCGTTTTCTGTTAGTGTCGCTTCGCGCGTGCATGGACTCGCTTGCTGGTTTGATGTGTTGTTTGATGGCAGCACGACACAAAGATGGTTGTCGACGGGACCCGGGCACCCAACGACCCATTGGTATCAGGTGCGCCTGGTTCTGAGCCAGCCTCTCTATCTTCTGGCAGGCCAGACGATCACTGGCAAGCTGAACATGGCAGCGCATGCTTTCCAGAGCTATCACATGAACCTCACTATGCAAGCAAGCACCTGGAACTACGGGGTACCTGGGATCGCCCGTCCCATCGGCATGCCCGGCATCCAGGTCTCATCAGGGAAGATGGACTTGAAAGAGCCGTACTACAGGTTATCGCAGATGTCAAGTTATGGGTGGACTCAGGATCAGCCGCAGCAGCAGCAGCAGCAACAGCAGCAGCAACCACAACAGCAGCAACCACAGCAGCAGCAGCAGCAGCAGCAGCAGCAGCAGCAGCAGCAGCAGCAGCAGCAGCAACAACAACAGCAAGGGTTGGGCACGTGGATGGTCCAGGTGACTGGTTCGCCGACGGCGGCAGGAGCGCAGGTGAGCTCGCACTTGCAGAATGGCCCAGTGGGATATGGCATGCAAATGCCACATTCGCAGAAACTCGATGGCGAACAAGACATGTCCCTGCAGCGGATCCTTCAAGATCAGACTGGTCAGTATATCCAGCAGCAGCAGCAAGGAGGAGGAGGAGGAGGTGGAGGAGGAGGAGGGGTTATTGGGAGTGGCAGTGGGTGTGTGATGGGGCAATCGCCCTTGCCACAGCACCAACAGCAGTATCAGTACGTTCAATACGGGCAAGCGACGGGCCAGTATGGTGCTGTTCAACAGCAGTCTGATCACTGGGGAGGAAACTACAGCACAACCTCCATGTTTGGGAAATTCTGAAATGGTCATTATGTTGCTACTACCCCTATTACCCCATTTACAAGCAAGTAAGAAGACAGCAGATGCCTGCAAGTGCACACAGAAGGCCAGGAGAGGGGACGCGAGGGGAGGGGAGGGGAGGGGAGGGGAACGGGAGCAACGGCTTGTCTGTGCGCACGCCCTGGTGATAACATGCACGATGAGTAGCTAGGGAGTTTTGTCCGAAGTGGGCTTGTTTGTTGGATCGGATCTCTCTCTCTCTCTCTCTCTCTCTCTCTCTCTCTCTCTCTCTCTCTCTCTCTCTCTCTCTCTCTCTCTCTCTCTTGCTGGTTCCTTGTTGTATGGTAGGTTGGTTGCTTTGTCGCCCTGTCGCGAGGAAGAAGAAGATGCATGGAAAAATGTGACCTTGCCAAGGATGGTGTATATCTGGGGCATACTGTGTCTTCTTGACGGTGTATGGGACTCCTCTATCCCCGGCAGAAGTTTTGCAGCTGTTGCACTCAATCGGAGTGTATTGTGGTACGGCGCAGCACATCACTGCGTGCATCCTTCAAGTGCAGTGCAGGTCAGGTGAGTGCATCCGCCGAAGGCAACCAAAGGTCAGGTGGCCGGCAAGACACTAACCCCACTCTCATGTCAATGGGGGCGCGACATGCACTGTGTCAGGCGCGCGGGGAGTTTACGGCATCTCATGTCCATGTGCGCTAAAGGTTATTGGTGCTGTTCAGTCCCCGTTTGCTGGTCAGGCAAGGCAGGGGCAGAGGGCAGGGGCAGGGGCAGGGGCAGGAGTACGGACATGCGCAGGGTGATGGAGTAGGAGGGTGGGGTGGGGCATTGTGGGGGGGGGGGAAGGGGAATATGTGAGAAGATGTGATGTGACCAGAAGCGTCGTATTCGTAGTTATGTCGGGGTGTGGGTGGTTTTGCAAGTATGAAAGTGCATGCATCAACTATGTGACAGGGATCTCCATTCGTTTGCTTGCATCTGTCTGTCTCATCGGCGGACAGGATAAGGCTGTTCACCAAATTTATCGTTGGTGCGATGCACCTACCTGCCGCGACAGGCCGTCCTCTCTCTCCTCGTTCAGGGGAAGCACACCCCTTTTGCTTTGGGCTTTCTCGACGCCAGCTATATATTCTTTCCAGGCACACCCCGCTTGCTTTGGGCATGACTTTTTCTGCTTTGAGCACACCCCTTTTGCTTTGGGCATGCATCTTTTTGCTTTGAGCACACCCCTTCTGCTTTGGGCATGCCTCGTTTTGCTTTGAGCACACCCCTTTCTTTGGGCATGCCTCTTTTGCTTTGAGCACACCCCTTTTGCTGTGGGCATGCCTCTTTTTGCGCTGAGCACGCCTCTTTTTGCAGGATGTTTATAAGAGGCAGCATGCCCCTTTCTTGAGCTTTTTCTCCGCTAAGGTCTAACTAGATTCTTTCAATGTATACTTGTTGAAGTGCAGCCATCGCCTAGCATTATGCTTTGCTTTTCTTCCTTCCTTATAGCTACAGCCTTATTGAAGTGCAGTCCTAATTACCTTTTATATCTCATATATCATCATACCTCTGCTAGCTCTGACAAACATCCTTGTGATCAGGAGGCGTGCTGTTTTCCACGTGATACTTTTTGGCTTGACGATCCGGTCCTCTTATAGCTCATATTATAGCTCTGCTAGCTCTAACAACCACCCTGGTTATCAGGCGGCCCACTGTTTTCTATGTGGTACGTTGGCTTGCCGATCTGACGCTCACAGGTCTTTTGATTTTTTTTAAAAGTTTTTTTGTGCTTGCATCAGGTTGGCCCATTTTTTCTTCTTCTTTTTCTGGGAGGTAGTAGCTGTTTACGATCTCGGTACATCCCCTGGGGAGTATGGAGAGTGCCAATTTCTGCCGACTGCATGCGCGCTAATCGGTGAATTGCGAAGGCGAGTGAACGATTGGCAGAAAGCTAAGCCAGGTTCAGTGGTGACCAGAGGCTTTGTGACATGGTGATCAGGATGGACAGAGAGTCGAATGAAGGAAATGGTGCGCTGGCCGGGTGTCGTACTCGAGTATCCAGTTACAAGGAAATTTGAGCCTCGCTTGTCCTTGTCTTATTTTGCATGCCTTGTTTACAGTGAGGGGGGGCGGGGGGGGGGTCCTTGAAATCGCTCTGGATCAGTGAGCGATGCATGGTGAATCACCCTTGATCTGGATCGCTAGGAACATGTGTGAAGCCTCGGTGCAAGGGGGGATGCACATAAGTAACTGCGCACATGGTCCTTCTAGTGGCCAGGTACAGGACGCAGTGACGGTAGGCATCGACTGCTGCTTGGGCTGGGAGCTGCTGAGGGAGTGCAGATGTGGAAGGTTGTGGATCTCTGGCTTGTCGGCGACGAGCTCAACTCCGGTGGATTCGCTGAGGGCTTACTCACACTAGGACCTATTTTGCTCCTCTTCCAGTCAGATGCACGCAGGAGAGTCTGCCATTTCGATCAGGTACAGCAAGGGAAGTGCTGGTATCTGGACTCGCGGAGCGTCTAGGAGTGACTTGCTGAGAGTGAGAGAATGGACAGATAGCTAATTGCATGTCAAGTTTGCGGCTCGAGTCTATTGTTACTACGTGCCTGTTGAGTTGGGGCTCGAAGCGTAGGTGCCAGAGTCCCATGTTCGGGGTTTACGGTTCCAAAATAGATTAGAGGCTGAAGCCCTCTCCATCTCCCAAGCATGTTAGAGCTTTCTCATCGAGCTTGCCTGGCCTGAGCGCCTGCTGTGCGCAGCCTGCCTGAAACACAGAGACCTGGGCATCGATGGCACTTGGCACCCAAGCGGAATGTCTGCCCGTCTCCTGACGCATTTGCATAACTGGTCCCTCGTCTCTCTCTGCATGTGTTTGGTCTGTGGCTGTTGTGTCCCTGTAGCTGTCCTCACGATGGGCGGCACTGACGGTGTGTGTCCCTGGCTGGTCCTCTGGCAGATGGTGATAATGGGCCCAAAGTAGGACCGGCCGTTGTGTGTCCCTAGCTGTTCCGCCGACTGACAGTGGCAGCGGTCCCGAGTGGGATTGGGTGCTGTATTCCCAGCTGATCTGCTGACAGAGAGTGCCAACGGGCCTAAAGTGGGAACGGAACACACGTTGACGCTTGCTGAGCCACTGTTATCTCCCTGGTACTGAACAATGCCGACAGGCCCAAAGTGGGACTGGAACGGGCCCGCTTTTCCCAACCGGGCACCAAGAGGCGGTGGGTGTTTGCTATGAGCTAGAAGACTTTGGGTGAATGCGGCCATCGAGTCGTCTGTCGCGTCGGATTTATCTCCATGCATGGGCTGACCCATTCCTTTAGACGAATTCTTTCTTTTCCTATTTGATGGGGTGCAGCAAAGTGCGACCCACGGTTTTTCTTCTCCCTCCCTTCCTTTCAGACTTTTTGTCGCAGCAAGGGTATTTCGGGGGTTTGAGCAGCCAGACCTCCAGTTTTGCTTGGGCGATTGTCACCTTCTGCCGAAAAGGTGAAATAGTATTAAGGTCAGACGTCAGGGCGGGGTCGTTTTCGCGATTGAACTCCGTGTTTTCACTTTGTAGGCAATCTGGACAGGAGGTATTGGTTATAGCATAGAGTCCAGAGCAGCAACATTTCGTACATGAAGAAGATAGAATCTGTGGCCAGCCAGCCACTTTCTAATCAAGGCTGTTTCTGCTCCGCCCTCTACCTCTCATCTGCCGCCCGCTTCCCTTGTGACAAACCCTTAGTCTGCATTCGTCTGATATCTTTCGTGCTTGTAAGCGTGCTAGCTTAGCAGGAATCCTCAGTCTCGAGGCAAAGGTCAAGAGGCTGTCACGCACTACAGGGGATGCGTCCGAGATCGCTCGATGTCTTACACGATCAATGGTCAGGTGGGGACCATCTCGTAGTGGACCAGCTTAGGAGTATTACAATCGTGTGTGGAGGATTAGCGCGTGGTCCCCGCCCAAAGATGACACAGGCGTGGTGGAAAGCGGGAGGTCCCTGTGCAACGATGGAACACAGAAAGCGAGTGCGTCAGGAACGCTGTACAATCAGGCGGCTGCGAAGTGCAAGCGGCCCTGAAGCGGATGGTAGCAGGGGAGGCATTGGGACAATGCAGGCGATGTGCGGCGTGTCTGTGCGATGCACCGGGACGACAGCACTGCTACCATCTTCACCTGAATAGAACGTTTCCTGGTCAGTACAGCATTGTTATCTGGACTGAAAGGGTGCACCAAATACATCTTTAATGACCGGGCGTTTTATTCCGGTGAAGACGGTAGTGTAGGCATCATGGCAATTCGGTCGATGTGCACAGTGTCGGTGGGGTTATGACGAGAAAGCACTAACGCTTGCAATTGTTGGAACCGGAGTATAAGATTGTTATAATCAGGGCATACTGGCAGTAGGACCTTTTTACTTGAATCTGGAGGGAGTTGTGGCCAGATGCATCCAGGTCTGGCCATAAATGCGGTGGTCAGGTACATTTACGAATAGTGCTTAGTGTGACTACGCCCTCAGATGCTTGGATGGATAACGAGGCGTGAGTTGCAGTATGGCAATGTGACATGCTGCCACAGAGAGAGGAGAGACCAGGTTCTTTGCACGTGTGCTGTTGGCGAAAGCAATTTGAAGGTGTCTTCACAAACGTAGATCAGAGCATGAATTTGTCCACACCCGGAGGCTGGATGCAGCACACGCCAGACTCGGGCAGACTGCCTAGAATACCTAGGAGGAGGTATTTTCTGGTGCTGTGCTTAGTGGTGATAGTGCACACGCGTGTGCCGTGGGATGATCCAGCTAAACTCCAGAGGAGGAGGAGGAGGAGGAGGAGGAGGAGGAGGAGGTGAAAGGCAATTCAAGGGCGAGACTCTGCTGCTGCACCAGATACTGTTGGGTGCGACCTATATGTGCTCCAGTTGCAGGATAGCTGACAACTCAGTCCCGCCGGACTCCAGAGGGATAGCGAAAAACCACCTCTCTAAGCCCTCATCTCTTTCTATCTCTGTCTTTTCTAGCCGCATCTCTATTTCTCTTTTCAGTCTTTTCACTACCTCCCTTTTCCTTTCTCCATCTCCGCATGGGTGCGTTCGTCTCCCACTGCCTTTTCTCCACCCTTCACCCTCTCCCCACTCGACCTCCCTACACACCCGTGCAAGACCACCTCTAGCTCCCGGCCCTGGCTTTCTCTGCCTCTGCCTCTCTCTCTCTCTCTCTCTCTCTCTCTCTCTCTCTCTCTCTCTCTCTCTCTC